TCACTTTGTCTAGGTATTGAAGACAACTACAGGGGATATAGTTGAAGTCAATATAAACAAAAATTTGGTGGGTTCTGCAATGGCTGGTAGCATAGGTGGCTACAATGCACATGCAGCAAACATTGTGACAGCCATCTACATTGCCTGTGGTCAGGTAGGTTTGTTTTGCACCAATTCACATAATTTTTTAGTTCATTAATTCTTAACTGAACACTTAGTGGAGTGTTTTGGATTTTGTTTCTCCTTCCTGATCTGAAGGACGCTGCGCAGAACGTGGGCAGCTCTAATTGCATCACTTTGATGGAGCGAACTGGTTCTACCAACGAAGACCTGCACATCAGCTGCACAATGCCTTCTATAGAAATAGGAACTGTTGGCGGAGGTACCAACTTGCTCCCACAGCAGGCCTGTTTGCAGGTATAAATCAGAAAGTTTAAAGCAGCTTGTGCTTCTTAAATTAAAGCTTGCTTTCATGTTGTGTATATGGTGTCCGAGTAATGTTGTGGGAATGGGGCCTCTTGAAACTTGGTAGATTTGACATAAAAATTTTAGAATTACCTAATGAATTGCTTTCATATATCTAATTTCTAAAGCTTAAAATGTTTAATGTTAAAGAGACTTAAAGCTAGTTGATTAGATACAATTTGGAAAGATTAATACTAAATTTAGCATAAATTTACTTAGGTTTCATAGCACAATATTGCATCTTTTTCTCTCCAGATGTTAGGGGTTCAGGGTGCAAGCCAAGATAATCCTGGTGAAAATGCCCGTCAGCTTGCTAAAATCGTTTGTGCTACAGTGATGGCAGGGGAACTATCACTAATGGCAGCTCTTGCAGCTGGTCATCTAGTGAAAAGCCACATGATCCACAACAGGTAAGAAATAGAAGAATTCTCATCTTTGTCTGCTGTTTTGCCCTTCTTCCAAGTACATGAGATTCAATAATAATAATTGCAACATCTAACAGCAGTGTAACATTTTAACTATCTAATGTAGTTATCTTACTGTTTCTATTAGGTCAAAAATAAATCTACAAGATCTTCAAGGAACCTGCACGAAGAAGGTGGCTTGAATACTAAAACAGCTTTGAAATGAAGAATTGTTCTAGCAACTGACTAGGTGCACAGGGGATAAAGAAACAAAGTCTGTGAAGTTTAGAATTAAATGAAAATTACCTTAAACTCAGTGATGTCTGTGTAAGATAAACTGAGAGATCAACAGAATTCTGTGAGACTACTTATGCCTTTGACATTCTTCAGTGGTTAGAGATGACTTCGTGAAAGAAGTCCTGTCTTGAACATGGGTTTGGAATTTATACTCTTACACATTATTTTCTAAAGGGTCAGTCTTGCGTTTTTACAGATCAAGATTATTTTGACTTGTAAACTCCTGATAACTGCCAAGCTGAAAAGTGATGTAACATCCTTGGTATATTAAAAAAAAAAAAAAAATAAAAATAGCTCATCTAAATTTGGCTTGAATGCACTGGTCTTTGCCATCTTTATTTTCTGATTAGAGAAGCATGGGTTTTTTAAGTGATGGCAAACCTAATCACTTTCCATGCACTCCCAAGTTTAATTTTGTTCACATGTAAAACTTAGGCTATAAGACAATTCTGTTGAATCATTAGTTTTATAGCAACCTCTGTTTATATATAGTACTTAATTTGCTGCTGCTTCAGCTAAGCAGCATTCCAGTGGTATAACTCTAGAATTTAGGTTATTCCTTTACAGAAAACTTGTGACCTATAAAGTTCTGAACTGTTAAATATAATCTGCACTGAAGTAGGAAAAAACAGTTGTCTTCAACTGTTTTGTTATTTTGTTCAGGTAGAAAAAGTAGATTTTGAAAATGGTAACTCCAAAAACAGTTATATGTCAGGTATTTAAGCAAATGCAGTTTCTCAAACTTTTATTGATAGGCGTGCATTCAAACAACAGAAGTCAAGAACAGATGTTTACACTTCTTTTAAAAGAAATCTGATAAAGTACAGTGTGTTTTTATATTCCTAACTATATATTTTTTTTAAAGTGGTTGACGCTCCCCAGGAGTAGGTATGTATCCACTGCTTAAGCTGAGAGAAAGTGAAGCCAGAAAATCACACTGTTCTTTAACACCAGGTTTTTATATGTTTTAATTGCTTTTAAACTTTCTTTTTGAGGGGGAATATTTATTTTAAGAAGAAATCTTATAATTTTTTTCAATGAAAAGTACATCAGAGGAATTCAGTGAAATGACATGTTAATGCAACAAGCAGGTTTTGTATTAAAATACTGTGCTTGGACCAGTGAAGCAGTCTCAGGTGTTCTTAATGTAATACAGAAAACCCAGGTTTATTCTGGTTTGATTCACCTTTGAGAATGTTGCTAAACACTTCTCCCTGCCTAGTTAGTCGCAGGAGAAAAACTGTTAATATACTTGATGATGGGTTTTTTGGTTTGGTTTGGGGTTTTTTTGTTTGTTTGTTTTGGGGTTTTTTTTGTGTGTGGGGGCAATCAGTGGATTGGACTGGGTTTCTTGCAGGAATGCAGTGGCATTCCTAAGGGAGTGGCTAGCAGAGGTGCTCTTCCAATGTGCAGATTTGATATAAATCGTGATGAGTTGTTTTGTAGTATATCAACACATTAATATCATTGTAATGAGCTCATAAACCTAATGTGCAAGCATGAAGACATACTACATGCTAGATATGTTATGATAGCATGTAAATACCATGAATGTTTATCTTCCTGCAGTATTGTTGCTAATAGCTACCATTTTATTTAAGGAAAGTTGGTACTACTTTGCTTTTATGTTCATTCAGTGATCTTATTTGAAGTAACACTGTTCTGGCAATAAATGGTGGTTCAGTGTTCATTTTGGTGGATTTAACTGACATTCTGTCTTGCAGAATTAATGTTTTGTATTATTACTAAATTGTGTACATTTTGGTACAGAACTACTTTTTCAGTTTCAGTAAAACAATGGAAAACATGTTGACTTAATTGTGGTATTTTAAGCTTACTTCATGACGTAGTGACATACCTTAGTAGACAACATAAAATAAGAGGCTGAAGGAAAATATGACAGGGATACAGTACTAAACACAGTGTGTCTCTGACACCAGAACTTCTCATCTTCTTTGCAGAAGCCTGTACTCACTTACGCTCCTTGAAGCTGAATTATGCAGTTTGCCCAAGTGGGAGAACTAATTCACTGCAGCATTAGTGATACCTTCTGCCAGGGCCCATTTTTCCCCTTTTCCTCACCTGTAGTCCCAACTCCCATGCTTGATCTTGGTAATGTCCATCAGTCTATAATCAGACATACGATGCAGTCTGCATTCTTTTTCAGACTCCTCAGCACTACAGGTCTAATACCAGAAGCAGAGGTTACTATTTCAAATTTCTTAGCACTTTTAGGGAGGTAAAGCACTCTTGTTTCCCTGCATGGACTACAGTAGAATATTTCAACATTACTGCAAAATTTGTGTTTCAGTACAAGAAACTTTTGTACCATTTGTTTTGTGTCCTTGGCAAAACTAAACCAGCTGTCTAGAATCAAGTTTCTAGAGCTGCTGTGACTTAAATGCCATAGTATTACAATTGATACAATTTAAAACCTTAGGAAAAAAAAATAGTAAAAGTAATGTGTCTGATTTGGGTTACTAGTTTGCTTCTCTCTCTACCTAGATGGTCTTTCTTCAATATGTTCTGAATCTACTTTACCTCTGCTACACACCAGTCCCCTTCCAGCTGTCTGACCTGAAAGTTTCAGATCAGAGGCTTGGAACTTTGCAGCTCCGGCTGCTTCTAATAACACAATTGTCCACTTTGAATTCTCTCAACCAGCATAAGACCTTATCAGTGAAGTGTGCCTTACCTACTCTTCCTGATGGGAGGAGCAGCTTCTGCTCAGGCAGCGCAGGGATGCAAGCTGTGTTCCTGCTGAATGTAGCTGTGATACCAGAAGCCTGTAGCAGATGCTGCCTTGGTCAGGGGACGGGGGTGTGCCAGGCAAGCGACTCCGCACAGACCCTGCTGAGCAAGGACACTGGTTCCCAGAAAAGAGCAAGGCTGAGAGTCCACTTGCTGTGGTGGTTTAACTCCAGCTGGCAACTGTGCTACACAGCCACTCGCTCCCTCCTCCCGGTGGGATGGGGGAGAGAATCGTGGGAAAAAACAAACAAACAAAAACTTGTGCGTTGAGGTGAAGACGGTTTAATAGGATAGAAAAAGAAGAAAATAATAACAATGGTAATATTAATAAAAATGGTAAAATAATGAGAATATACAAAGCACATGACATGTAATGCAATTGCTGATCACCTGCTGACTGATGCCCAGTCAGTTTCTGAGGAGCATCCCCTCCCCAGTCGGCTTTCCCCCCAGTTTATATACTGGTCATGACTCCATATGCTACAGAAAATATCCCGTTGGGCAGTCTGGGTAAGCTGTTCTGGCTGTGTCCCTTCCCAGCTTCTTGTGTCCCTCCAGCCTTCTTGCTGGCAGGGCATGAGAAGCTGAAAAGTTTTTGACTTAGTAGAAGTACTACTTAGCAACAACTGAAAACATCAGTGTGTTATTAATATTCTCATACTAAATCTGAAACACCGCGCTGTACCAGCAACTAGGAAGAAAACTAACTCTCCCAGTCAAAACCAGGAGACTTGCTTTCCCAGAGGAGCATTCAGACATATCTGGGCTCTGGGTGTGTCTGTGCACAGCACTGGACAATTTTCATCCTTGGCATGAACCGTGTTTGTGACGTGCAGAAAGGTGACTTTACAACCGGTGAGGTTATAAAGTAGGTATGTTTATTCAGCGCTGGACGCACGGGGGATCACTCCTCCACAGCGTGCGTGCCCTGGAGCCAAAAGCGGCCCCCTTTTATGATGCCAAAGTTACATATTCATCAGTCTTAATACATATGTGTTATAATTCCGGGAATAGGGAGGGAATATTACAATTAATTCTGAGAAATCATTAACATATCCCCTGCCCCAAGTCCCTCCCCATCACGCCTGCGCAATGTCTCTTGGTGGTCGTGGGCAGGGCTGTTCTGATGAAGGCTCGTAGTCTTCTTCACTGTGTTTGCTAGTTGACCCTTGCTTTTGCACAGACTCAGTTCTGTAGTTACACACATCTCGTCCTTCAGGCCTTGTTGGATACAGTTTGTTGCTAACTTGCAGCTCCTTTATCTTGGTGGCTCAGTAGTTCCTTCCTTATCTCAAGGACGATGGTGGGCTCATCCTGTTTTTCTCTCATTCATTCGCAAGGTAGTTATCTATTTAATGTTTTCTTGAGAAACCATCTGGTTAGTGCCTCTTCATTCATACATCATTCGTAAAGTGAGAAAAGTTGGTCCATCCTCTGACTCCTTCCAGTTACATTTTGGGGTCAAGTGAGAGTTCTTACTACTCACAGTGATTTTAAGATACCACCTCCATCTCTTTTGGGACATAGCTTACCATTTTTGAGGTTGTGTTCTCTTCCCTCTCTCCCTTTGGCTTTGGTTAGGGAAGGTTTGCACTGCACGATGACACCAGCTGAAACAAGGAGATGATGGCTTGGGCTTCAGGCAGTGTCTGTATATGCTGAGATCCACAACAGCCAACTAAAGACCAGCTCTTAGAATCACAGCATGGTTTGGATTGAAGGGACCTTTAACGACCATCTAGTTCCAACCCCCCTGCCATGGGCAGGGACAACTTTGGCCAGCCCAGTTGCTCAAAGCCCCTTCCAGCTTGGCCTTGAACACTCCCAGGGAGGGGGCAGCCACAGCTTCTCTGGGCAACATGTTCCAGTGCCTCAGCACCCTCGTGGGAAAGAATTTCTTCCTTACCTTACTTTATTCTTTCAGGGGAGAACTCTACAAGGTCAGTCCATTTTCATAAAATAGAATACCAGGATTAAACAAACAGCTGTGCCATAAAAATTATGCCAATGACCAATCTTTCCAAGGACCACAGCACGAAAGAGCAGATTTAGGCCAGTTTATCAAGCTCAGAGCAAGACTAGTTGCATATGACTGTAGCTTCTAGCTCTCCATGTGGTACCGTAACACAGTTTGCCAAATCACTTCCCACTTCCCCTGTAATGAAATGCTGGTCTCCAAAAACAAATGGAAGGCAATCCTACAGTACATGTATGCCATAGGCTGTGTCATCATCAATCCACAACCTTAAAAAAGTGATCTTCCAAGGAAGCAGTCAACATGTAAAGTTGCCCTGGAAACCTTACCTCATCCTCAAAACAAGTGGGCAACATTGCTGCCTTCTTTTGCCGAGCACTGATTGCTCTATCAGTGTTTTGCCCATAGCCCACACCCAATCAAGCCTGCTTTGTACACTGTGCACGAGTGCAACCCTACCACCAAGGATAAAGCTTTTTTTAAAAAGGTACTTAAAACAAGCCAAGTGCTAGTGTAGCGGTACGTACAGCAGTCCAGCTCCTTCCCCATCTTTTATATGTAAGAGCTGGCATAGCTCTGTGTGAGCTGGCCCAGTCAACGCTAAAGCAGTTAAAATTAGTTCAACTTTTGGGAATAGTGATTCTAAAAGAATGCTTCATTAGTGAAAAAGATGGGCAGGTGTATCCAGCACACAGGAAGATACGACTGTTGGCAGAGTTTCTGGCTAAACAGAATTGCACTTTTTTTAGGAATAATCTTGGCTTTCCCACATGAAAATTGTTTCTGGGTAAGTAAGTCTAAAGAGTTGGACGCTCACTAAAGAAATGTTCTCACAGCAGCTTTTTTTAACATATAACAAAGCACCCTAAACTGGTCGTTTAAAATCCAGGGGACAGTCATATAGCATAGAAAACTACATGCAACTTTGGTTTTTGCTTCAGTAATGCAAGTTTAGGAACAGGGCCAAGTCTGGAAGCCACCAGGCTGAACAGCTCACTGAACTCTCATGTGAAAAATTTTCCTGCTTTGCAAGGTAGAGAGGAATGAATCAGAATGTGTATTACACTGGGGCTGGTAATAACTCATCAGTTATCTGATGTTTATTGACTTCTCTCTGTCTTTGTGCTGTAAGCTTATGTAGTCCCTTTATTTAAGATAGTCCCTCAACTACTGACACATCATTGCTTGTGGTGAAATGGCTAAAGACCAACCCAATGTCCTTGACTTACCTTTTAAGACAGATAATCACTTAATGAGTAATCCTAGCCTTAAAATTTTGTCAACAACTTTTAAAAACCTAAATGATGCAATGAGCTCATTATATAAATTGCCTATTACATAACAGAATGCAGTATTTAAATTTAACGAGCTGGCACACAGATTTGTAGGATGGAAGGTTTTTTTCTATTAATTCACCACCAGCGAATGGAGAGTGCTTTACGCTTAGTCTGAAAGCAATTTTGATTTGTAAAGGTGACAGACTGGGGATTCGGTCCCAAAGTCTCTGAGACGAGTGAGAAAAAAAAAAAAAAATCCAAGTTTTAGTAACGAGGAAGAAAAACCTTTATATCTAGTTTATATCTAACTGACCCTCCCTACTGTTCGTGTTATTTCCATGCGTGAACACGTCTGGATCACACATTTCTGCAGGGAGGGCTCTGCTCTGTGCTCTTGAAACATTGTGGTGCAGAACTGAGATAAAGGCCTGGCCCTGCACAGGCATCTTGTTTTCCTGACACAGCCAGGTGGAGAAGGAGGTTTTAAAAGGGAGTGGAACAGAACTTAGGTGGGTGGCAGGGAATAACATGTTTACCCTCCAATTCTATCTCTCTTTCTCTCCACCTCCTCCATCTGTCTGACCAACTGTGCTTTGTGTCATCATCAACTGCAGAAAAAGGTTCTTTCTAAGATACCTTTAAGGTACCGAGTTGCACTGCAGTGCTTCCAAGCCAACAGTGACAAGCAGCTGAGCAGCTGCAGGACTGTGCCTTTGCTGTCTTTTACACAGCTGGTGACGGGATTTGGGGATGTTGGGGTGGGGGGCAGGGAGCCACTTTTGCTCTCCTGTCTTGTCCGGGCCCACAGGGGGTTTGCCCAAGTTGGGGTGAGGTTTGCTTCTGCACTGCACTATTGCATAGCTCCTCAGACTACGGGGCAGAACTACTTGGGATAGCTGCAACTGGGGAATTTAAAAGAATTTTCATTTCAAAACAGTAGGCATCCTCTTAATGCTACCCTGCACCTCAGCTAGTCAGAAGAGATAATCTGTATCACCACAAAGAACTGTCCCTTGCAAAAAACTAAACTGCATTTTTTTTTTTTACTTTTCTTAGTTATCTTTCTCAATACATATTCTTTCATTCTAACTGCATCATGACCGCATTAACTAAAGCTCATCTATATGTAAGAAAAAAACCTATTATTTGCTCTTAGAAGTGTAAGGAAGCCTTTAAATCATTACCCAAATCTTTTGCTGACTATCTTATTCCTTTATTTCAACACAGGCCTCTTACCTGCAATCAGGGAAGGACGTACAGTGCGTGTGCACTGTGGCAGCTGTGCGAGGTGTGGTTCCAGCGCCAGCAGCAGGCGGGTCCCTCCTGGACTGCACTGTGCCCCCGCAGTCGCTCCAGTTCAACCTCACGGCTGTGCAACAAGCTCGCTCACATATATGAGGGCTGGAAAAAGTTGTTACAGCCCTGTGAAGAGTTTGCTTCTGCCATTTCTCATTTGCAGGTGTTTGGATTGTGCTAATGTTTATAGAATTTATTTAGAGGCAGGGGCAGCACCACTCTACAGAGATACCGATTAGGGAAAGGCAGGCATGGTGTTTGCTTTCCGTGCAGCTTGAAGGCCTGGTATAAAAACAGCTAAGGAAAAAAAAAAAAAAAAAAAAACAAAATCGAATTTTTAGGTCTAGTTTGGGGATTAGCAGGACCAAATTTAGCAGGTAAACACTGGGCATTCCTGCTACTTTTTGAAAACGGCGGGTTTTCGGTCTAGAAACGGTGCAAAACCTGCCGTGTCCAGGTGAGGAACCCAACCGGCGGGATTTCTGCTTTTCCAAGCGGACATGCCGTTCCCGTTTCACCCCTGGCAACGCCGCAGGTGCCTGAAGGCCACCCCGCAACGCCTTGGTGCCCTGCCCCCTTTGCTGCTGAGCCTTCCCGCCGACCCAGCGGGCCGACCCGTGCCGGCTGACGGCCCGCGGGGGACAGACCGGGGTGCTGCTGCCGGAGGTTTTCCCCAAAATTCTACGGGTGCTGCTACCTGCCGCTACGCCCCGCCCCTCCAGCCGGCAGGGCCCGCGCGGCACCGCCGGGCCGCCAGGGGGCGCTGCCGCCGCCTTCCCGCCGCGCCCGCCGCCGCCGCCGCCGCCCGCCTTCGAGCCCCCGCGGCCTGCACCATGGAGGCCCCCCCCGTCACCATGATGCCCGTCACGGGCGGCACCATCAACATGATGGAGTACCTGCTCCAAGGTAAGGGGGGCAGCTCCCTCCCGCCGCCCAGGGGAGCTCCCGGCGGGCCGCGGGCCTGCGCGCCGCCGCCTCCTCCTCGGCCGAGGGGCGGCCGCTGGGTCCGAGGGGCCTCGGCGCGAGGCGGGCGGCGGGGGTGGGGTGGGAGTCGTCCCCTGAGGGCGGGCTGCGGCGGCCCGCGCTGTGGAGAAATCTCGCGTGGGAAGGGAAGGAAGGGGGTGACCGAAGCGCTGTCTCCACCCGCCGCAGGGAGCGTTTTGGACCAGAGCCTGGAGAGCCTGCTGCACCGCCTGCGCGGCCTGTGCGACAACATGGAGCCGGAGACGTTTCTGGACCACGAGATGGTGTTCCTGCTGAAGGGGCAGCAGGCCAGCCCCTTCGTGCTGCGGGCGCGGCGGTCCATGGACAAGAGCGGGATGCCCTGGCACTTGCGCTACCTGGGCCAGCCAGAAATAGGCGACAAGAACCGCCACGCGCTGGTGCGCAACTGCGTGGACATCGCTACTTCAGACAACCTGACGGACTTCCTGGTGGAGATGGGCTTCCGCATGGACCACGAGTTTGTGGCCAAAGGGCACGTGTTCCGCAAGGGCATCATGAAGATTGTGGTGTACAAGATCTTCCGCATCCTAATGCCGGGAAACACGGAGAGCATCGAGCCCCTCTCCCTCTCCTACCTGGTGGAGCTCAACGTGGTAGCGCCAGCAGGACAGGACGTCGTTTCTGATGACATGAGGAACTTTGCTGAGCAACTGAAGCCTCTAGTACACCTGGAAAAAATTGACCCCAAAAGGCTAATGTGATTGAAGAGCTGGGCAGTTAAGGCACTGGTTTTATTAGTGTTCCTGATGAGGGCGTTTTTCTAAAATGCCTTTTGAAGGCAGTTCAAAACAGGGAGAGGGGAATAAAGTACTACATTTTAGTGTTTTGTCAGTTGCGATTACTGAGTGTTTTCTCCTTCACTTGTGGATGTGAACAAAAGTGTATGCTTTAAACTAATGCCATTCAAAACATCACTAAATGCTGTTATTGATAGTTTTCCTTCTCCTGTTGGGGAGATACCTAATAGAAAGCATACTGTATAACAACCTAAAAATGTTGAACTTACTGGAATTCATCCTGTGTACCCACATCCAGGTGCTGCTTGCTTTTAATTTTTTTTTTAAGCATCATTCCTGTATCCTACCCAGTCATCCAAAATTTTTATTTCAAGTAATATATCAAGTTAATATCCCTTTAATGCAGGAGGAGTTTAACACAAGCATAAACCCAGGAATTACACAGTATAAAGAGCAAAGGTGCACCTATTTGCAATTGAATAGTAAAGTAATAGCATGTGTAACAGGAACAGCCGGGACACAAGATACTTTATAGTGAGACCGTTCCTGATATAACTAAAGTTATAATTGGAAAACAATTTAGCAATTTTAACAATTGCAAGAGGATTTCAGATCTTTTAATACTGTTACATCTTTTTCACTTGAGTTGGGTATGACAGTCTTAGTTAATGAGAAAGCACTAAGTTACATGGGGGTTTTATTACGAGACTTTTACACCTGACATCAGTATTGAAAATTGGCACATTACGATTAAGATCATCATACAGCTGCTGATTGAAATAGTGATGATTTTGTTTAGCACCTCTCTTGATAGTGGGATGGTTAGTTACCCTCCTGGTATTTCAGTGATATTTGAATTAGGTTTGAGAGTTTTCAAATACAGTTCAAACAAAAAAGAGGGTTGGGAAAAATGACAAAATGAGGCTTCTTTAAATTTCTCAAGTTCTTTACAGAAGGCAACCATTTTACCTGTTACTAAAATGTACCAACCTTTGTCAGAGATGCTGCCACCCTTTGGCACCAAACAACTCTTTATGTAACAACTAAAGGCAAAGACCACTCCCACAAAAAGCTTCAAAAAAAGCCTTTTACATTAAGGGCTGCGTTTTCAACACTGGAGTCTGGAGAAGATAAGCCAAGACAACTGGGTTAGCGCTCACCAAGCGCAGTGTCTCAGTGTTCCACTGGTGTAGGGTCGACATACGGGGTGTGGGGACAAGCGAGTACTTGAACACCGGCTGGAGAGCACCTTTACGCTGAGTAATACCCCGACTGCTCATCACCTAGGCTGGAAATATTTTCTGGATGGTACGGGCACACCTACAATTCTTCTGTTCTTACTCAGGCATGACTCGCCCTCCTCAGACAGCATGGCTATCCTGGCCCTTCGAGTCTGGAATTCTTTAGGATACTGTTAAAGGGCATAAATTCCCTGGGGGTGAGGGGTAGGTCCCAGAGCTCTGCCTGTAGCCAGGAGCTGAACTTGCTGTGATGCACTGAGATTCAGTTGTGCTCCTCAGGGCTGTTGTCACATCCTGCCACTGTAGCACTGGTTAGAAATCGCCACAGTCTTCCACAATCCACCGTTTGTCTCTTGTGGCACGAAATTTTAGAAGTCCAGTGGATCAGAAAAGTTGAAAGTTGTGCCAGCATCTGAAAGGGTAGGTACTCATAAGTACAAAGATACATAAAAAGCAGGAAGTACAGAAGTCTTTCCTGTTGCATCTGAAAGGAACTCACTTGGTAATTTACCTTCCAACTTTCTAAGTGGAGGGGAGAACAAATTGCAGAGTGTTTATGTTAATGTAATTGTGAGAGAGAGGAGAATCCCACATGGAATTTCAGACAAACTAGCCAAAGCAAAAGGAGACTGAATGGAAGGTTCCTAATTGTAGTGTTTACACTTCTGATGGCAATAGGTCTGACTATTGCTTGGTCTAAGTTCTCAAACATAAAAATGATCATTTAAATAGTTCTTTTTAAGGAGAATTAGTTTAAACCTGGTTTGGTTTTGTCTGGGATGGGGACACATTTTCTTCTCAGTAGCTAGAACACTGCTGTATTTTGGATTCAGTATGGAATTTGTCATGAGAAGAATGATAATGTGCTGATGATTTTAGCTGTTGCTAAGAAATCAGGCACTTTTCAACTCCTTATGTCCTGCTAGTGTACACAAGAAGCTGTGAGGGAGCACAGCCACAGCAATGGACCTAAATGGGCCAGTGGAATAGTCGCTATAATGCAACATCATGCTCAGTGAATAGATGAAGGATGACCATGAAGCGCTCTCCCTTCTAGGACTGCAGTTCTGGGATTCTCACTTCTCTGGGATGGCTAGCTGGGAATGGCTGGGCATCGGCCAGCGGGTGGTGAGAAGTCGCATCGTGCATTACTCGTTTGCATTTCCTATCATGTTAATTATAGTTTATTTCAATTATTGAACTGGTTTTGTCTCAATCTGTGAATTTCCCTACCTTTACCCCTCCAATTCTCTCCCCCATTCCCTGGGAGGGGGAGGGCGAGTGACCGACTGCGGGGTGTTTGGCTGCCAGATGGGTTTAAACCACAAGAGTCCTTTCTGGCGCCCAGCGTGGGGCACAGGGCTTGAGATGAAAGCAGATCTGAGCAGAGCGTGTTACAACGAATTTGTTACAACTTTTTATTATTTGGGTTTAACAGTTGCTTGTCATAATGTGGGTTTACTGGCTCCTAGAGCAGTGGCACTCACTCTTAGAGTGGTGCTGTGCACCACCCCATTTGCCCTATGCGGTACACAGTCCCTGTGCTGCTGCTTGGCACCCGTGCGAGGTGGATTTCAAGATTTTCGCTTTACTGTACTAGGTGTCACTGATTTGTGGCACGATGAAGCTGTCGGTCCAGGGACTAGTCCGGCAGCTGTACTCGGCACTGTCATCACTTCTGTACTTCAGGGACCATCTAGTGGGAAGCGTGAACAATTACACCCTCCACCTTTTCTCCTGGAGAGCCAGTCCGGCGGGGAGACACCTCCCTTCACTTTCCCCTTCTCCTCCAGGCTAATTACAATAGCGTTTGAGAACTTCAGAAATGTTGAGCATAACGTGGGTTTACTGCTAGGAGCCAGCATGACGCTGAATGTGGTTCAGGTTTGGTCAGGGTTAAGCAACTATGTAGGCGTATCACCCAGAGGCTGGAGAGCTGAGTGGCACGGCGTGTGGGACAGCAAGGGCAAATGCCTGGAACACCTCCAGCGTTTTGGAACTTCACCCCTCAACGAGTGCAGCATCCTGCAAAACTAGCAGAACATTTGGACAAATTATGCTGTCACGCTGGCAACTGCAGAGGGACTCGGATCGCTGCAACCTGTTGCTCACCCCTGTTCAACACTGCGCTCAAGGGGAAGAGGACGTCTCTGGATCTGACAAACAAGTGAGAACCCCTGCAACAGGCACAGCAGCTGAACCAAAGGACCAACCTGCAGCGGTATCAGTTGCCCCCATACAGAAAAAGAAATACACAAAAAAAATATCATTTTGCTTTGTAAGGGATGGCAATGAACCAGAGCCAACGCAAGAACAGAAGGAAGAGACAGAACCAGAGGTAATCCGAGCCCTAACTCTGAGTGAGCTGTGAGACATGTGAAAGGATTTCAGTCGTTTTCCAGACAAGCACATTATCAGCTGGCTGCTCTGATGCTGGGATAACAGACACGGTGGCTTGGAATTAAGAGGGTAAGGAAGCCGGGCAGCTGGAGTCCCTCGCTAAGAAAAGGAGCGTCGATAAAGAGATTGGAAAAGGGGCACAAACCTGCAGCCTCTGGAGGCAACTTCTGTCAGGCATGGAGGAAAGATACCCCTTCAAAGAAGATCTGGTGTGTCATCCAGGCGAGTGGAACACCATGGAGAGAGGTATCCAAGACTCGAGGGAATCAGCCACGCAGGAGATGGTTTATTATGACCCAGACAATGCGCAGCTCCCCACAGATCCAGAAGAAGTCCAATGCACATGACCCGGTGGCAGAAGTTGTACGGAGTGCAGTGTTGTTACGTGCCAAGACACTAGCAGTAGTGGACTGGAAAGATGAGGAGGGACCAATGCTGAATGAATTGGCTCACCGACTCTGGCAATGTGAAGAAAGTCTCTCTTCCTCCCTCATCAGGGCTGGGGAGAAACTGCCAGACATACTGGCCTGGAAACTATCCCAAGAGCTCCAGCAATTCAGAGTGTATGACCTACTCCCCACCTGCACGGACTAGGGTCTCAGCTATCAGGAGTAAGCGTGCCCCTGCTCAAGAGAGAGAAGATAGAAGGTACACACCACAGGGGAAGCTGTGATTTGGCCTGCAGGACATGGAGAAGGGATGAGAAAATGGGAAGGGAAACCTGCCACAATGCTAGAAGAGTGGGTACGTGAATTGTGAGGAAAAAACACCATGAAAGGGGATTCCTTCTCATATATGGGGGGGGGGTGGTGTGGAGAATAAAAGTACAAAGAATAAAAACAGTTATAAAGGGGCAGAACCCATCTATATTTCTGGAGCGACAGGGAGATGTGAAGAGCTAACTATATGTCAGAAGCCAAAGTGAGTTTAACCAGCCCACTGTGACTGGACCGGGAGCCCCGTGCATCCCTGGCATAGACGACCTCAGGAGAGGGTGATTTAAGGACCCAAAGGGGTGTCGGTGGGCTTCCAGCACAGCTGCCTTGGAGACAGAGGAAATCCAACAGCTGTCAGCCTTGCTGGGTCTCTCCAAGGACCCTTCAGCTGTGGGGTTGCTGAGGGTCAAAGAGCAACAAGTGCCAATCGCTGCTACAGCAGCGCACCGGCAGCAGTATCGCACCAGCCGCGACACCCTGGCTCCGATCCAGCGGCCGATTCGTGGACTGCAGGGCCGAGGGGTGATCAGCAGGACTCGCTCGGCCTTTCACAGCCCCACGTGCCAGTGGGAAGGTCTAAGGGAAAGTGGAGCCTGACAGTAGCTCTATTGTGGCCTGGATGAAGTCACGCCGCCGCTGAGCGCTGCCGTGCCGGACATGCTCCGGCTTCAACACCAACTGCAGCCCAGTGGTACGCCGCGACTGACACCGCTCACATCTCTTTCTCAATCCCTCTGGCAGCAGAGCGCAGGCCACAGTTTGCTTGTACTTGCAGGGGCGTCCAGTACACCTGGAATTGACTGCTCCAGGGGCAGAAACAGCCCCACCGCTTGCCACGGGCTGACCCAGACTGCACTGGAAAAGAGTGAATCTCGGAACACCTGCAACACATTGAAGACGTCATCCCGTGGGCCAACACAGCAGAACTTTATAGGAAAGGGAAGAAAAGAATCCAAAGCCTCTGAAAGCAGGAATTGCCATAAAACACAGGTCAAGGCACCTACCCAGGAGATTCAATTTTTAGCAATGAAATAGCAAGGTGGACGTCACCGGCTCCCAGTGGATGTGATTAGTAAGACAGCAGCTCTGTCCCCACACAAGCTTTCCTACGCACTTCGGGTTTCTGGAGAACGCATATCCCAACTTACAGTCCGGTCACAAGCACTCCCTACCGAATGATCCAAAAAAAAAAGAATGATTTTACATGGGGCCCTGAGCAACAACAAGCCTTTGAACAAATGAAACAGGAGGTGGTTCATGCAGTAGCCCTTGGGCTGGTCCAGGCAGCACAAGGTGTCAGAAATGTGCTCTACACCGCAGCTGGGGAGAGAAAGGCCCTGCCTGGCGTCTCTGGCAGGGAGCACCAGGGGAGACCTGAGGCCGACCCCTGGGGCTTTGGGTTCGCGGATATCGAGGATCCAGGGCCCGATATACCCCAGCTGAAAAGGAGATCCTGGCAGCGTAGGAAGGGGTTTGAGCCGCTTCAGAAGTGGCTGGTACAGAAGCACAGCTCCTCCTGCCACCCGCTTGCCGGTGCTGGGCTGGGTGTTCAGAGGGAGGGTCCCCCCACACTCTGTGCAATCGATGCCACGTGCAGTCAGTGGGTCGCACTGATCACCCAACGGGCTCACACAAGAAGCCCCCGTCGCCACTGGAAGTGATCACAGATTGGCCAGAAGGCAAAGATTTCGGAATGTCACCAGAGGAGGAGCTGACGCGTGAGGAAGAGGACCCACCACGTAATAAACTACCAGATACTGAGAAGCAATTCCAGTCTAGGTTATGTCCTGTTTGCTGATGGGTCCTGCCACGTTGCAGGGAAACATCGCAGGTGGAAGGCCACTGTGTGGAGCCCCGCACGACGGGTCACAGAAGCTGCTGAAGGTGGACCGAGTCAGTTTGCAGAGGCAAAAGCCACCCAGCTGGCCCTAGGCAGTGCTGAGCGAGAAAGGTGGCCAGTGCTCTGTCTCTGCACCCAGGCAGGGACAGTGGCAGGTGCCCTGTGGGGGTGGTCACAGCAGCGGAGACAGAGCAGCTGGCAGCGCAGAGGCCATCTCATCTGGGCTGCTGAATTATGGCAAGACATTGCTGCTCGGGTAGAGAACCTGGTGGTTAAAGTACGTTCCATAGATGCTCACATACCCAGCAGTCAGGCCACCGAAGAACATCGAAACAACCAACGGGTGCATCAAGCTGCTAAGATTAAAGTGGCTCACGTGGATCTGCACTGGCGACAGAAGGGTGAGAAATTGATGGCTCGCTGGGCCCATGACAATGGAGGCCAGCAAGGAAGGGATGCAACATCTAGATGGGCTTGTGATCGAGGGGTGGACTTAACCATGCACACTATTGCACAGGTTATCCATGAATGTGAAACACGCGCTGCTACCAAGCAAGCCAAATGATTAAAACCCTCTTGATATCAAGGATGATGGTTAAAATATAAATATGGGGAAGCCTGGCAGATCGATTATGTTACACTCCCACAAACCTGGCACAGCAAACGCTACATACTCAAAATGGTGGAAGCAACCACCAGATGGTTGGAAGCATATCCCATGGCCCATGTCACCACCCAGAAGAGTATTCTGGGCCTTGAAAAGGAAATCTTGTGACAGCATGGCACCTCAGAAAGAATTGAGCCTGGGACTCACTTCTGAAATACTCTTACTGACACCTGGGCCAAAGACCATGGCATTGAGTGGGTATATCACATCCCCTGTTCTGCACCAACCTCTGGGAAAATTGAGCAGTTCAAAGGGTTGCTAAGCTACACTGAGAGCAACGGGTGGTGGAACTTTCAAACGCTGGGACACACATTTAGCAAAAGCCACCTGGTTAAGTCAACACTAGGGAATCTGCCAACCAGGCTGGCCCTGCCCAGTCAAACCTTCTACGTGCTGTGGATGGGGATAACCTTCCTGTAGCGCACATTAAAAATATGCTGGGAGAGGCAGTCTGGGTTATTCCTGCCTCAGGTAAAGGTAAACCCATGCGTGGGATTACTTTTGGCCAAGGACCAGGGTGCACCTGGTATGCAATACAGGAGGATGGGGATGTCCCATGTACGCTTCAAGAGG